GAGGCGAGAGACCAACAGTCTGCATACAACTAAGGGGATCTCTGTGGCGAAGAGGTGAAGCCGTGTGCCTCGCGCTATGAAGGTCATGGGTCCGTTCCACGGCTGCGCCCTTCAGTTCACGAGCGCAATTTTTACGGAGAAACCCGAGTTACGGAGTTCGCGCTCTCGAAAGGCAGCTAGCAGTTATGCGGAGAGAGACCGAGCCAAATATTAGATCAAACCTGTTGCAATGGAGTCGCTTCTCTTGACTTTAACCTTTAACTATTCAAATCAGCTAGATCTGTCAAACAGGTTTGCACGCAAAAGTCAAAGTTCTGGAATTAGACTAAATTCCAGAGGTAGACGAACAACCAGAACTTTTCTCTGAAGTTTACAGCCGGTGAACGCAAAGAAGAAGAAGAAGAAAAAGAAGAAGAAGAAGAAGAAAAAGAAAAGAGAAGAAGAAGAAGAAGAAGAAGAAGACGAAGAAGAAGAACGAAGAAAAGAAGAAAGATGATGATAGAAGAAGAAGAAGAAGAAGAAGAAGAAAGAAGAAGAAGAAGAAGAAGAAGAAGAAGAAGAAGAAGAAGAAGAAGAAGAAAGATGATGATGATGATGATAATGATGATGGTGATGAAGAAGAAGAAGAAGAAGAAGAAGAAGAAGAAGAAGAAGAAGAAGAAGAAGAAGAAGAAGAAGAAGAAGAAGAAGAAGAAGAAGAAGAAGAAGAAGAAAAGAAGAAGAAGAAGAAGAAGAAGAAGAAGAAGAAGAAGAAAAATAAGAAGAAAAACAAGAAGAACAAGAAGAGAAGGCCATTACCGGTTTTCGCCAGGTCCATATGCTTTCACTGATTGGGCAGTGCCTGTTCTTTCCCAGTCTCCATGTCTTGTTGCTCGGACAGCATCTGTTTTCTCACTGCCCCTTTCCCCCTTTTTCCACTTTTTCTGTTGTCGCCCATTCAGTAAATGCATCCACGAGTATTTATTTTTCTTTACAAAACATTCCCCGCAACAACATAACACGTTTTCATGTCACGACCCCAGAACGGTAAATACATCGAGCAGATGCCCAAAGCAGAGCGAGTGCAATGCTCGAGATACGATCTCTCCTCGCTCTTTCAACTCCACAGTTCTTAGACGGAGGCAACGCCCATGACATTTGTAAAGCTGATATTCGATACCATTGATTGTGTAATTTTTCCGTCACAGCGATAATGTCTTTGCCCTTTTGTATCGTAGTCAAGTAGACTCGACTTCGGCATTCAGAAGTGATTCCGTGATAAGACATTTTCTTTATGCTTGCTTTAAGTGTCTAAGTATTCTTGAACTGACTTGATACAACAGGCGTGTATTGGCATTTTACAATATCTGTATCTTGACATTTTACAACATTAATGTCATGGAATTCTACAACATTCGTGTCATTTATTTGTACAACATTCGTGTCTTGGCCTTCTACAACATTCGTGTCTTGTCTTTCTACAACGTTTGTGTCTTGTCGTTCTACAACATTCGTATCTTGACGTTCTACAACATTCGTGTCTTGACATTCTACAACATTTGTGTCTTGACATTCTACAACATTCGTGTCTTGACATTCTACAACGTTTGTGTCTTGACATTCTACAACATTTGTGTCATGACATTCTACAACATTTGTGTCTTGACATTCTACAACATTCGTGTCTTGACATTCTACAACGTTTGTGTCTTGACATTCTACAACATTTGTGTCATGACATTCTACAACATTTGTGTCTTGACATTCTACAACATTCGTATCTTGGCCTTCTACAACATTCGTGTCTTGACATTCTACAACATTTGTGTCTTGACATTCTACAACATTCGTATCTTGACGTTCTACAACATTCGTGTCTTGACATTCTACAACATTTGTGTCTTGACATTCTACAACATTTGTGTCTTGACATTCTACAACATTGTCTTGTCTACATTCTACAACATTGTGTCTAGACATTCTACAACATTCGTGTCTTGTCTTTCTACAACATTCGTGTCTTGACATTCTACAACATTCGTGTCTTGGCATTTTACAACATTTGTGTCTTGATACTCTACAACATCAATGTCTCGACATTCTACAACATTTGTAGCTTGACATTTACAACATTTGTGTCCTAACATTCTACAACATTTATGTTTGACATGATACAACATTCGTGTCTTGGCATTCTACAACATTTGTATCCTGACATTTTACAACATTTGTGTCTAAACATTCTCTAACATTTGTGTCTTGACATTCTCCAACATTTGTGTCTTGACATTCTCCAACATTTGTGTCTTGACATTCTACAACATTTGTGTCTTGCCATTCTCCAACATTTGTGTCTTGACATTCTCCAACATTTGTGTCTTGCCATTCTCCAACATTTGTGTCTTGCCATTCTCCAACATTTGTGTCTTGACATTCTACAACATTTGTGTCTTGACATTCTCCAACATTTGTGTCTTGACATTCTCCAACATTTGTGTCTTGCCATTCTCCAACATTTGTGTCTTGACATTCTCCAACATTTGTGTCTTGACATTCTCAAACATTTGTGTCTTGACATTCCCCAACATTTGTGTCTTGCCAGCCTCTTCAACATTTGTGTCTTGACATTCTCCAACATTTGTGTCTTGCCATTCTCCAACATTTGTGTCTTGACATTCTCCAACATTTGTGTCTTGCCATTCTCCAACATTTGTGTCTTGACATTCTCCAACATTTGTGTCTTGCCATTCTCCAACATTTGTGTCTTGCCATTCTCCAACATTTGTGTCTTGACATTCTCCAACATTTGTGTCTTGCCATTCTCCAACATTTGTGTCTTGACATTCTACAACATTTGTTTCTTGACATTCTACAACATTTGTTTCTTGACATTCTACAACATTTGTTTCTTGACATTCTACAACAGTAGTTCTCAAACTTCCTAACGCCGCAACCCTTCAATACAGTTCCCCATGCCGTGGCGACCTCCCAGCCACACTATTATTTACGTCACTACTTTATAACTTAAGTAAATATGTGTTTTTTTTCGATAGTTCTTGGAGAACTCCGTGAAAGGGCCGTTCGACCCACAAAAGAGTCGCGATCCGCAGGTTGAGAAACGTTGTTCTACAACATTAGTGTCTTGGCATTTTACAACATTCGGGTCTTGACATTCTACAACAATTGTGTCTTGACATACTACAACATTCATATCTTGACATTCTACTACAATTGTGTCTCGAAATCGAAAACAATCGTTATTTCTAGTTGATCACTAGGCCGTGTCAAACAAATGAAATTTACAGCGCAGGTTAAAGATATTTTACGTATATTTTTACATATAAATTTTGTTCTGATCACAATTTCGGGCCCTGGCTCCGCCCATATACACACTCATTAACTCTTTGAGTCCCAAGGAACGCATCATACGTTCATAGATTCCTACCTAGAGGCCCAATAAACGCATGATGCGCCGATTTAACGTCTCTCTTGACTACCCCTTAGGGCTTGTGATGCTAAACCCCCTGGGACTCAAAGAGTTAAGGGCGGAGGCAGGGGTATGTGTCAGGGATGTCAGTTTTCTCTCTAGTATATATGTTGGAGTTTGGACAGGTACACAGTGGCTTTTCTGAGAGACTTAGTATGTAGTATTAGTGGGTTTTTATTTTCTTTTGAGTGGGTACATGACAGCCGTCTAGGATTTTGCTTAGGAAATGATTTTATTACAGAGGGTAGGGTTTCGTGTCTGCAGCGACACGAAGAATGCACTGTGTCGTGGGACCTAGGTTTAGTTTGTAGCGAATGGATTTTGGGTTAGGTTGCAGGGTTTTGGTTGCAGATTTCATGGGTTCGTTAAAATCGCTAACTTGCTGTAGAATAGAGGTCGTGTCACGGGACAGTGATTTCTTGATGTCCTGAGGTAGTAAGTGTGTGTCATAAATTGACACCTATCGGACACAACCAAGGTGACACCCGTATAATCTTTGCAGAAGTCGACTCGGCTGATCAAGAATGAATAAAAACTTGCGTTGTGTATAAATGGGCGGGACAAGGCCCGAAATTATTATTAGAACCATTTATTTACATACTGCTAAAAAAAATTTAAAAGCGTACTTTCAATTTTGAGGTCCTTTTAACTTTTAAAAGAATCTGAATATACGGCCAAAAAGTGTGTGTGTGTGTGTGTGTGTGCGCGCGCGCATGTGTGTGTATGTATGTGCATATTTAACCTTAATAGATAGATATTCAAAGATCAGTAACAATATCGATTACTGACTGAGACATTTATCTAATAACAGACAGACACGACACCACATGACAGACATAGACAAACTTCACAACACCCATAATAGATAGACAGACAATAAAAAAAATCAATAATGAGGTCAATGACAGACTGAGGCACTCGGCTAATGACAGACAGACAGACAAATAAACAGACATTGAAAATCAATAACATTGTTGACACCAGACTGAGAGACTGACCTTTGACCATGGTGTTCAAGGGGAAGTCACCCGTAATCATATCACAGACCTCCTCAATGCGATCAGAGCGCGAACAGAAACCTGCGGGAGATCAAAATGGTGAGATGTTGCCATAAGTGATGTGTGGGATGTTGCCGTTAGTGTTATGTGGGATGTTGCCGTGAGTGTTGTGTGGGATATTGCCGTTAGTGATGTGTGGGATGTTGCCGTTAGTGTTATGTGGGATGTTGCCGTTAGTGTTATGTGGGATGTTGCCGTGAGTGTTGTGTGGGATATTGCCGTTAGTGATGTGTGGGATGTTGTCGTTAGTGTTATGTGGGATATTGCCGTTAGTGATGTGTGGGATGTTGCCGTTAGTGATGTGTGGGATGTTGCCATAAGTGATGTGTGGGATGTTGCCGTTAGTGTTATGTGGGATGTTGCCGTTAGTGTTATGTGGGATGTTGCCGTGAGTGTTGTGTGGGATATTGCCGTTAGTGATGTGTGGGATGTTGTCGTTAGTGTTATGTGGGATGTTGCCGTTAGTGATGTGTGGGATGTTGCCGTTAGTGTTGTATGGGATATTGCCGTTAGTGATGTGTGGGATGTTGCCGTTAGTGTTGTGTGGGATGTTGCCGTTAGTGATGTGTGGGATGTTGCCGTTAGTGTTGTGTGGGATGTTGCCGTTTGTGTTGTGTGGGATGTTGTCGTTAGTGATGTGTGGAATGTTGTCGTTGGTGTTGTGTGGGATGTTGCCGTTAGTGTTATGTGGGATGTTGCCGTTAGTGTTGTGTGGGATGTTGCCGTTAGTGTTGTGTGGGGTGTTGCCGTTAGTGATGTGTGGGATGTTGCCGTTAGTGTTGTGTGGGATGTTGCCATAAGTGATGTGTTGTATATTGCCTAAGTGATGTGTGGGATGTTGCCATAAGTGATGTGTTGTATATTGCCTAAGTGATGTGTGGGATGTTGCCATAAGTGATGTGTTGTATATTGCCTAAGTGATGTGTGGGATGTTGCCGTTAGTGTTGTATGGGATGTTGCCGTTAGTGATGTGTGGGATGTTGCCGTTAGTGTTGTGTGGGATGTTGCCGTTTGTGTTGTGTGGGATGTTGTCGTTAGTGATGTGTGGAATGTTGTCGTTGGTGTTGTGTGGGATGTTGCCGTTAGTGATGCTGTGTGGGATGTTGCCGTAAGGGAAGTTGTGTGGGATGTTACTGTTGGTGATGCTGTATGGGATGTTGCCGTTAGTGATGCTGTGTGGGATGTTGCCGTTAGTGATGCTGTGTGGGATGTTGCCGTTAGTGATGCTGTGTGGGATGTTGCCGTTAGTGATGCTGTGTGGGATGTTACTGTTGGTGATGCTGTATGGGATGTTGCCGTAAGGGAAGTTGTGTGGGATGACAATAATAATGATGCATACCATTACAGATATTGTGATGGGGGTTACCATTATAGATCTCTCTCTCTCTCTCTCTCTCTCTCTCTCTCTCTCTCTCTCTCTCTCTCACTCTCTCTCTCTCTCTCTCTCTCTCTCTCTCTCTCTCTGTGTGTGCGTGTGTATGTGTTAGTTACCATCAGATATGTGAGGTCATGTAGTCTAGAAGAACGACCTCCCCGGTGGATCGGAAGGTCGAGTGTTAAAATTCCAAAGAAGCCGGACATTTTTTGTCTTAAAAAAAAAGATTTCGGCTCTCTGGCTGACCCATTTTGAAATGGGTATCAGGTAAAGTCATGGGAAAGTAAAAGCGGCCAGCATCTTGCTGAGTAAATCTCACATAGAAAGCCAATTGGTCTATAAAGCATACGTCTAGCACTACAATTCAGATATGCATGGAAGTGTTCAAAAGGGTGCATTCGACAGCGGGGGAGGGAGGGGGGAGCTCTGTGACAACAGAAGAGTTAGATGCTTGTCTCGCTCAGAAGGTCGTCTGTTTCTTTCCACGAAGGCCCTGGCACAAAGACAAAGTCCAAATGCACGAACAACCAGGACTTTCCTCCAGAACTGTAAAGTCGGTGAACAAAGAAGAAGAAGATTTGTAAAAACCGTAAAGTAGACATTTCATACTCAGTTGATTTCTATCTGATGCGAGTTTCGTGGCTGGTCGTTGTTCTTCTGAGGAAGGCTAATGACCGCAACCTCCCCTATTTATTGTAACAGGACATATAAAGCTTAAACAGACTTAATTTCCAAGCTGAGTTCTGGCGCTCCACTCAATAGAACCACTTCCTCCCTTTCAAGAATGTTGTAAAAGACTACTAACAACGGATTTTCACCATAAAGTTCTCCCTGCAAATAAGCTGCTATTTAAGACGTATGTTCACACAAACTGCATATTCTGGAACAAGATCAACTAAAGACCAGAGGTGGACGAACAACCGACACTTTCCGCCGATGAAGAAGAAGAAGAAGAAGAAAAAGAATAAGAAGAAGAAGAAGAAGAAGGAGGAGGAGAAGGAAGAGAAGGAGAAGGAGAAGAAGAAGAAGGAGAAGGAGAAGCAGAAGCAGAAGAAGCAGAAGCAGAAGAAGCAGAAGCAGAAGAAGCAGAAGAAGAAGAAGAAGAAGAAGAAAGAAGAAGAAATGAAGAAGGAAGAAGAAGAAGAAGAAGAAAGAAGAAGAAGAAGAAGAAGCAAATAGAGAGAGAAGAGGAAGAGACGAAGAAGAAGAAGACGACGAAGAAGAAGAAGAAGAAGAAAAAGAAGAAAGAAGAAGAAAGAAGAAGAAGAAGAAGAAGAAGAAGAAGAAGAAGAAGAAGAAGAAGAAGAAGAAGAAAGCAAGAAGAAGAAGAAGAAGAAGAAGAAGAAAAGAAGAAGAAGAAGAAGAAGAAGAAGAAGAAGAAGAAGAAGAAGAAGAAGAAGAAGAAGAAGAAAGAAGAAGAAGAAGAAGAAGAAGAAAGAAGAAGAAGAAGAAGAAGAAGAAGACGAAGAAGAAGATGAAGAAGAAGAAGAAGAGAAAGAAGCAGAAGAAGAAGAAGAAGAAGAAGAAGAAGAAGAAGAAGAAGAAGAAGAAGAAGAAGAAGAAGAAGAAGAAAAGAAGAAGAAGAAGAAGAAGAAGAAGAAGAAGAAAGAAGAAGAAGAAGAAGAAGAGAACGAAGAAGAAGAAGAAGAAGAAGAAGAAGAAGAGAAGAAGAAGAAGAAGAAGAAGAAGAAGAAGAAGAAGAAGAAGAAGAAGAAGAAGAAGAAGAAAGAAGAAGAAGAAGAAGAAGAAGAAGAAGAAGAAGAAAGAAGAAGAAAGAAGAAGAAGAGAGAAGAAGAAGAAGAGAAGAAGAAGAAAGAAGAAGAAGAAGAAGCAAGAAGAAGAGAGAAGAAGAAGAATGTCAAGAAGAAGAAGAAGACGAAGAAGAAGAAGAAGAAGAAAGAAGAAGGAAAGAAGAGAAGAAGAAGAAGAAGAGGAGAAGAAGAAGAAGAAGAGAAGCAAGAGAGAGAGAAGAAGAAGAGAAGCCGAGAAAAGAAGAGAAGAAGAACCGAAGAAGAAGAGAAGAAGAAGAAGAAGCGAAGAAGAAGAGAGGACGAAGAAGAAGAGAGGAGAACGAAGAAGAGAGGAAGAAGCTCTAGAAGAAGAAGACGCTCCTAAGAAGAAGCTTTCAGAAGAAGACTTCTGAAGAAGTTAGCAGAAGAAGCCCGAAGCAGAAGAAGAGAAGAAGACGAAGATTCCGAAGAAGAAGAAGACTTCAATCAGAAGAAGAGAAGAAGAGTAAGCTATCTTAAGATTCTTCTTCTTAAAAGCTCCTTCAGAAAGAAACTACCTCCTAAGACCTCTTCCTCCCGAAGAAGATAGAAGAAGCTCAACCGAGCCTCTTCTTCGAAGCAGACGCTATCTCCTTTCTTCTACTTCTTTTCTCATCGATCTCTTCCTTATTCTCCTTCTCCTCTTCCTCAAGAAGAATCCTTCCTATAGACTCCTACCTCTTCTTCCTCTTCCATCTTCTTCCGCTTCCTCTCCTTCTTCCTCCGCCTTCTCCGCTCGTCGCCGCGAAGAAGAAGAAGAAGAGAACTTAAAAAACCTTTCCTAGTGTTTTCTACTCTCCTCATAAAAGTAGAAGTCCAAATCAGCAACGGAAACTTCAGACGTTCATTTCCTCATCTCCAGTAATGACTGCAACCACTGAAAACACCAGCCTGTGATATCGGGTGACGGCACAGCCTCGTTATCTGCCGACCGCGGAGACGGCCCTTATCCCGCCACCGGAACCCGAGATGGCAATCAGATGAAGACATAATGCCGCAGGAACAGATGTGAAATCTAGCCACCGCTGGACACTGGCAGACAAGGATGACTTCTGTCAGACCAGAATCCTTCCATCAGGTGTTTATGGCCGGCGGGAGCAGAAGTCAAAACCCTCCATGACAAATCCACTAACCATATTATAATGACTTTGTTCTATTCTTCGTTGTCTTTGACCTTGTAGTAAGTCACCGGGGACCGATATCTGCCATATTGGGCTTTTATCTTCATAGTCATTGACATAACGGACATTATTCCCCATTTTAGGAGACTGCCTTTTCCCCCCCCCCCCCCCCCCCCACCTCCCTCCGGCCTCCTCCCCTCGCCCCCCTCCTCCTCACTCCTCCTCCTCCCCCGCCCCGCCTTGCTCCGCCTCCTCCGCCTGTGCCTATTCTGGCTGGTTTCTGCAAATCCCCAGGCTCTTGTTTTCTCGTGAAAATTATCTTGCAGATGACTACAACCAATTTGGCAATAATGCAGCCATTTTGTTTTCCTTGGCGGTTCAAAGCTGGCATCGGAGGCGCCTTTTCGGGAACAAGATGGCGTCCAAGAAAGCGGCCGCGTAAAGTCGTTATATTTATATGATCTTTCTAAATAAGTGGTTAGAAAATGAGGGGCGAAAAAGAGGACGGAGTAGAACAGGATTGGTATAAATAATTATCTTGTCTTCTTCTTCTTCTACTTCTTCTTCTTCTTCTTTTCTTCTTCTTCTTCTTCTTCTTCTTCTTCTTCTTCTTCTTCTTCTTCTTCTTCTTCTTCTTCCTCTTCTTCTTCTTCTTCCTCTTCCTCTTCTTCCTCTTCTTCTTCTTCTTCTTCTTCTTCTTCTTCTTCTTCTTCTTCTTCTTCTTCTTCTTCTTCTTCTTCTTCTTCTTCTTCTTCTTCTTCTTCCTCTTCTTCTTCTTTTTCTTCTTCTTCTTCTTCTTCTTCTTCTTCTTCTTCTTCTTCTTCTTCTTCTCTTCTTCTTCCTCTTCTTCTTCTTCTTCTTCCTCTTCCTCCTTCCTCTTCTTCCTCTTCCTCTTCCTCTTACTTCTTCTTCTTCTTCTTCTTCTTCTTCTTCTTCTTCTTCTTCTTCTTCTTCTTTCTTCTTCTTCTTCGGTGTTCACTGGCTGTAAACTCTTGACCACAAACATCGCTGTTTATCCACTTCTGGACTTTGGTTTTCTTCTTCTTCTTCTTCTTCTTCTTCTTCTTCTTCTTCTTCTTCTTCTTCCTCTTCTTCTCTCTTTTTCTTCTTCTTCTCTTCTTCTTCTTCTTCTTCTTCTTCTTCCTTCTTCTTTTCTTCTTCTTCTTCTTCCTCTTCCTCTTCTTCCTCTTCCTCTTCTTCTTCTCTTCTTCTTCTTCTTCTTTTCTTCTTCTTCTCTTCTTCTTCTTCTTCTTCTTCTTCTCTTCTTCTCTTCTTCTTCTTTTTCTTTCTTCTTCTTCTTCTTCTTCTTCTTCTTCTTCTTCTTCCTCTTCCTCTTCTTCCTCTTCTTCTTCTTCTTCTTCGTCTTCTTCTTCTTCTTCTTCTTCTTCTTCTTCTTCTTCTTCTTCTTCTTCTTCTTCTTCTTCTTCTTCTTCGTCTTCTTCTTATTCTTCTTCTTCGTGTTCACTGGCTGTAAACTCTTGACCACAATCCTCGCTGTTTATCCACTTCTGGACTTTGGTTTTCTTCTTCTTCTT